TATGCTCGCAGGTGAGGCCCATGTCCTGGTCTGGCACTCAAGGATGCCATGACCCGGTGCCTGCTTCCCTTCCCTGCCTCTCCTCTCCATTTCTGCTCATTCTCCTTCCACCTGACACGTCACTGGCCGGATTTCTCAAGGCCCTGCTCAATAGCACTTCCGCTATGAATTCACTCTCGCCTCCTCCTGGAGTCCCCCTCCTCCCTCCATGAGCTCTGACGGCCTTGATGGTGCAGTTTCACTTAAGAGCAAATACTGAAATGTCCTCTTTAAAAAGTCTGTCTGGAGGCCAGCAGAGGGCATGGACATTAAGGTGACTGGCTGACATCCCGCACTGCTGATGTCGTGGTTCAAATCCTGGACCCAGTGGCTTCAAAACCATGCCAAACACATGTGTGTTTGTCTAAAATCCTGAGAGGAGAACAGAGGAGAAGGGATTGTGATGTGGTCATTCCCCTGGGAGAGCATACTTTTTCTCCCTCTCTCTCTCCCCCCTCTTTCTTTCTGTCTTTGGTGAGTGCACATGCCCTATAGCCAAAGGAAAAAAAAAAAAAAAGAAAGTCTGTCTCTCTAGAGCAAGAGCTCCTGGAAGGTAGGCTTAGGTCTTAGGAATCTTTATTTATTTATTTATTTTTGGACAGATTTTTGCTATAGGGCTCGTACGCTCGCCAGACAGACAAAGAGAGACAGAGAGACAGAAAGTGAGAAATCACCCCCCAGGGAAGATGGCCACGCCGCAATCCCTTCTCCTCCATTCTCCTCTCGGGATCTTGGGCATGCACGCACACGCGCCCGGTGTGAGTTTAAGCCACTGGGTCTGGGACTCAAACCACAGTCGACTACATGGGAGTCCAGCGACATAGCCATTACACTAACTGATGGTCCCAGGTCTTAGGAATCTTTGAGTAGCTTGTCTCTAAGCTCCTCAATGCTGTCTGGGGGAAAGGGCGACACAGCCACAAGCCTAATAAGAGGTGAGCTTGAGCAGGACAATGAAATAGTGGGGCACTCCTGGGGAGGGAGGCAAGGGGGAGCAGGAGGTGAGACTCCAGTAAGACCCCATCCCCACACTTCCCTGCCACCCAGGCCCTCACATGCAGAGGCGGGCAAGTGCTAGAGCCTGGGCCAGGCACTCCCTGGGCCGGCAGAGGTCCTTCAGGACCTGGGCTTGCGGTTGGAGCCTGGGCGGGTGTCGTTCCCTCTCTGAGCTGGTCATTTCCTAGCCTTGTGTAGTAGGGAGAGGCGGGCTAGCCTCAGAGCACAGAGGGCTCTGCAGCTGGGCGGCACTGGGGCGTCTGGGTGGCCAGAGGGCACCCATGTCTGCTGTCTGCCTTCCTGACTCCTTCCCTTGGCCAGACCTTCTGTGATGGCCATGCCTACGCTGCTGCCTGTCTCCCGTCAGGGAAACAGTTCTTGCCCAGAGGAGACTCATGGCCCTTGGAAAAGGGACTAAGGTAAGGCATCATGGGTCTCGGTGGGACTGAGAAGCAGACCAGTGTTTTGGGGTTCACAGCTTCTACTTCCTCAACCCAGAGGGCAGGGTCAATCTGGTACCCTCGCTGAGCCTTGCACCCCTGCACTGAGTGTGTCCTCAACAAATGTGACGGCTCCAATGCCTTCAAAACCAACCCCCACCACCTCTAGGAAGCCTCCCAGGAATGACTCAGGGCCCTTTAAGCCCCTCTTTCCAACCTGTGACTGCCGATGTGGATGTCTGGCCCTTAGGCAGCCTGGGGGTTCCCAGGCCTTTCATGCCATCCCTGTCCCCTTAAAGCATAAGTAGCCAGATCCAGGGGGACCCCTCTAACTGGGGACCGCTAGGGTCTTGTGTTTCCATTTCAACACAGCAGTGGTCAGCATTCTGTAGAATGGGGTTCTGGGAAGTGGAGACCCCCAGTTCTCTGCATGGGGTTAGGTTAATGGGGTGTCTCTTCTTCTCCTGTTTGGGGAGGTGCTTCAGTACAAAAAGGCCCAGCTGTTCCCAGAGGTCAAGGAGGCTGGGGCTGAGCCAAGCTGCACTTAGCCACTCTGCAGGGGCGGGAGCCGACAGCACTCGGCAGTTTCCTGCACGCCTGGTGTCCTCCGGCCCCTCTGCCTTCCCTCTCCCGCCTGGTTTTGTCAACCACTAATGCCCAGGGTCACCTGCATCCTTGCCCTCCTCTGACCCTACCCCCCCCACACACACACACACTTGCAGCAGCCTACTGTGCACCCACCTCCCTCCAGAGGAGTGGCTGCCCCGAAGCTGCGCTCCTCAGGCTCCCTTCCTCCCCAACCAGGAAGCCCTGTCCTGGCCCCACACCCCTGCATCATCCCGGCATCATCTGATCTCCACCCTGCTCTCCAGCCTCCCATTCCCTGTGCTCTACATAGTGCTCGCTGTCCCCAGACAAAGCACAGCCTCACCTCTATGCCTTTGCTCACTCTGTCCCCTCGGCCTGATGCCTCCCCTATACCTGTGACACACACACCCGCTACGATCCTTCTGTCTGCAGAAGTCCCTCCAGCTCTCCCGGCAAACGTGCCTCTCAAGGAGGTCCTATGGTCAAGTGAGGGCCGTGGGTGACCCCACCTGCACTGGTGCATGGGAGCTGATTGGAGCCTTGAACGAGTTACTTCCTGTCTCTAAGCCTCAGTGTTCTCACCCGCAATTTGTACATAAAAGAGGAGGTATCCTGGGGCATAGGGAGTGGGGATGTAGGGGATTGTGGATGCCAAGCTTTCTCTGTGGTAGGTGGTACCAGGAAAATGGCCAGCCCTTGGTAGTTAGGTGGCAGATTCTCCGTGCTCAGCTGAGTGGAAAGATGGCGAGGACTAATACCTAAGCTGCATCCCCACCCGGCGATTCCTGCCCTCCGAGGAATGAGGCTTCAGTAGGGCTCTGACTAGAGCACAATGAAGTTGGGGCTCTTCCCCCAGACTCCCCATGGGAATTGTGTCCTCACTGTGTCCTTCTTTCTAAAGGAAGGATCCCACTGAAAAGGCCAGCGTCGAAGGCGGAGTGGCTGGAGGTGGGGGAGGAGGGGAATGAAGCCCATTTCCAGTGCCCTGAGCTCCGTGGCTCCCCCCACCACACTGACCCCTCGAAGCCCGTACTGGTTAGTGGCAGTGCTCCCCGGCCCTCACATGCTCCCCGTTCCCCAGCACTTACACTCAGGCAGCACCTTGATCCAAATGCAGACAACGCTTCATCAGTTACCAGGGGCTAACTGGTGCTACCTTGCCTGCCTCAGGGCTGCCCTAACCTTCTCTAGCTTCTGGTTCCACTTGATGTGAGTGGTCTGGTATGTGCCGCCCACAGTCTTCCCTATTCTCCCATCCCCGTAGTCCCCTGCGCTCCCATGGGTGTCTCCACTCCATGTCCTTGTCTGTGGCAGTTATGAGTGAGGCCTCAATAAAGTCAATGCAGTGGCTAGCACACAGTAGGTGTTCAATAAAAGGACAGCTCAGCTCCATTACAAAGAAGAAACCCTGCCCTGGGGGACTCCAGGCTGGCTGGGGAAAAGAGGAGACAGTCCAGGCTGGCGTGAGAACCCAGCAGAGCTCCCTCAGGCTCACAGGCTGTGGGCCGAGGTGCTTTGTCACCACGCTTCACCCTGCATGGACCTTAGCCGCAGGACCCAGTCTGAATCAGGCACCCTGATCTCCACTGCCCACTCCAGACAGCTCACAGAATCTTAAAAATACAGTGCTGCCATCTTGGGTCTAGGAACAGGGACATCTCCCTTCTGCCTGCACGCCTCCCAGGTCAGGGGCCTCCGCTCCTCACGGGAAGCTCTGTCTTAGTCCTCAGCAGTCCAGCTGCCTCCCCCACCCTCTTCTATCAGGAGCACCCTAGCAGCAGGAGCCCATCAGAGCCCTGGGGTGGGAGTGCCCCCTTGCCATCAGTCGCAGGGACTGCTGTCCTGCCTTCTAACCGTCCGCTACCACAAAGGTCTCGACCTCTGAGAGCTTGGACAGGCCCACCCGCATGGCTGTGTGCTTGTGTGTGTGTGTGTGTGTGTGTGTGTGTGTGTTTGAGGGTGGCATCAGGGGAACTGGACACACGCTCACATTCAGAGCTTGCTAGAATGTTTCCAGGCTGAGCGGCTTCAGGCAAACAGCCTCCTCACACAGGTCTCAGGGGCGCTCTGCTGGTGGGGTGGGGCTAGAGATGTGAGAGGTAGGCCATGCGGTGTCCATGGCCTCACACCTGGCTCTCACTGGACTTCCTCAGGGCATAGAGGTGGGCACCTTCCCTGCCCCCAACCCACCAGAGCACTCATTAAACACTCCCTAACCCACCCCCTCCCCGAACCTGGCAGCCTCGATGTCAAGCCACTCTGAGATTTGCCAGGAGGCTGTTCTCCTTGGGAGGTGGGGAGTGGTCCTGATTCAGACTTGGCAGTTACCTGGGGGGGGGGGGGGGGGCGCTAGTCTCCCCCCCGCCTCTGACTCACAGCCCAGCGGGCCCTGGGACACGAGGCTAGGCCAGAGGGGACACCACGCACCCTCTGGCGTCTGTGGTCTGCCTGCCCGCTCCTCAGCCTATGCGCTCACCCCGGCTTTCCTGCCTGCTCTCCAGTAGTAGAGTCTGATCAGACTCACACTGCAAGACTGGAGACTTGGTGTAGGTCTCGCGCCACCCCTTGGGGGCATTGCCTAAATAAAGAAATGAATCCCTAATGGGGGAACTACAGGCATCCGGAGCTTACAGAGAGCGTTTGCTTTCAAAGAGAAAGAAGTATCTCCTTCCCTCCCGCCCTCCTTTTCCAGCTCTGAGCTGGAGCTCGGTAAGCGTGGTCAAATCACTGCTTCACTCAGGATGGAAGCTATGCCCAGGGTAGGGGCAGCAGGTGCGCCCCAAGCACGGTAAGGGGTCTTTTATGCCAGCGGTGTGACGGTGCCGGGCCCTCGGCAGGGCAGGTGTCCACGCTGGGTCTAATACCCTCCCCGCTCCATAAACCGCCTTGCCGGAAGGCTGGTGCAGAGCCCACAGCTGCGGGCCGGGGTACACTCACGGGTCGCGTTGTACTTGACGCCGTTGAAGTACTCGGGGCACGGCCTCTCCACCAGGGCTCCGGCCGCGCTCCGGGGCCAGCACGTCCCGATCTGGTCCAAGGTCGTGTTGCAGTAGGAATAGGGACCTGGCGACGGGAGAGAGTGGAGTGGGGCTCAGAGGGGCCCCGGGGTCGCCAGGCGCTGCGGGACGCAGGGCGCGGGGCGTTCGGAGCGCGGGGCCCGAGGCACACCCAGCGGGCTGGGAAAAGATTCCACGCCGCCAGCATCCGCTCGCCTCCCGCCTACCCTCGGGGTCCAGGGGCGGTCCCCAGCCGTCCAAGAGCAGCTCTTCGGCCAGCTCCAGGCTGCAGTTGGCCTCCAGCAGGCTGTGGAGCAGTGCCGCGTCCATCGCGCCGGGAGCCGCGCGCGGAGAGGGAGTGGGAGTGCGCGCCCGGCGTGGCCGCGAGGGAGTTCGAGAGTGAGCGGCCGAGCGAGCGCGGGGTCCTGGCCCCTGCCTGCCTCGCCTGGACCTCCTGGGCAGCCTTCGGGAGCCGCGCCCGGTCGCTCCGAGCTGCCAAGTCCGGACCTCGGCGGAGAGCAGCTGCGGGCCCACCCGCTCCGCCGCGCGCAATGGCC